ATCCTTATTACAAAATAACAGCCTAGAAATGCAGCAGCAGTTTCACAGTCTGGCAATAGTACGTATTGACATATTTAAGTATCCACACCTGCTATAATTTTAAAGCCCCAAAGTACAAAAAATATTGTTTCAATTAGTAGTTAAATCTGTAGGAAAGTAAAAGGAGAAGCCACTGATTTATTAAAAACTTGGAATTCAGAATACAGAAGCTCTTGAATTTTTCAATGTATGATACCTACACCTGTCCTGAGAAGAAACAAAATAAGATCATATTTGTGTGAAGAAGAGAACTAAAGTCCCCTCAGTATCTACAGTGTGCTACTCTATTAGTCTTGACTCTTCAATATGTAAATCACAGGCATGCAATTTGAGCTGCCTTAGGCAAAAAGAGAAAGGTATTGACTCATAGGACAAGCAAAGTGAGAGAGTAATTGGGACTGACTAGAACCAAAGACTTGATGGTGGCAGGAACTTTCGTCCTCAATCATTACCTTGCCACTATCTGTGTCGTCTACTGCAAATCAGGACTCCAAGAAGCTGCACCTCCGCTGCCAGAAGTTCAGAGTCCGCATTTTGTTGCCTTCACCACCAGCAAGCCTCACCCTAGTCACAGTGTCAAAGATTCAGGGCTATCCCCTGGTTGGTTAGGCTCAGTTCTTCTGCTGATCCCTTGCTTTTGGGAGCATGGAGGTGGCTTCTGTAGAGCAACCAGTTAATACTTGATCGGCAGCCTCTTGCATTGCACACATGACCTGTGTAGTGGTGAGCAGTTCCTCTAGTGGAGAATGGTGTTATTGGAAGAAGTGAAGGCATGCTAAATTGACACAAGTAACTTGTCTTATAAATACTATTTTTTCAAATCATTAAACAACCCCTGCACATAGTGACTACCATAAATGTGTAGAGGAGGAAACTGAGATTCATAGAAAGTAAATTAATTGCCTTGGGTTCATCTCTCTCTCTCTCTCTCTCTCTCTCTCTCTCTCTCACACACACACACACACACACATACACACACACACTCACACACAAACACTTACACAGCAAAATGAAAGAGCAGGAATTTAAACCGCAGCCTAATTCTAAATGCTATGCTCTTTCAGTAACTATACATTAAACGTTCTTTAGCCCCAGTCAGGTAGCTCATTTGGTTGGAGCATTATCCTGTACACCAAAAAAGGTTTTGCAGGTTGGATCCCTAGCCAGGGCACATACCTAGGTTGTTGATGTTTCTCTCTCCCATCAGTTTCCCCCAACCCCACCCCTCTCTCCATTCCTCTATCTCTAAAAATCAATTTTTAAAAAAGCAAAAACAGACAAAAAAAACACAACATGTCTTCAGGTGAGGATTAAAAATAAATAAAAAACATTCTTTAGCAATATGGCAACTAGGTAAGTAAAGAAACTAGTGGTTGGATGGTAAACAATAATAATCATTTCAACAACCACCCCACACACGCACACAAATAACCGCCACGCATGGCCTTGGCACCCTGGCTTGCCACTCACCCATGAGTGACAATGTTTCCTGTGAGCCCACCGTCAGCTCTCTCTCTGAGCCACAAGTGCCCAGGACTGCTACCCATCCCAGAGGCATGGGGAGAAGGAGGGCACATGTTGGAGGAAACAAACAGCTTTTCCTTGGCCCTCTCCAGGTCAAAATCTAGCAGTCAGTAGGAACATATGCTTGATTTCCATTTGATTACCTTTTAATCATTTTCTCTTCCGTACTCCAGGGCAGTGGGTTGAACCTTCCCTAGAGTGCATAAAATGGCTCCTGAAAATCACAGAGGAGCCCAGAGATTCAGCCTAGTTTGTACATCTCATTTTGTGACCTGGGGAAATCATAATCAGACAGACTAAAGGACTTGCCCAGAGTTAAAAGCCAACTAATATCGTGGGTAAATTCAAACTCAAACCTCACATCTCCCAGGTTAATCTCCCACTCACGTCGTGGATGTTTAGTCACTTCAAAGAGAAGTAAACTCTTCGAGTGAAAGTTAGCATCAGGAAGCAGCCCCAGAGAGGAAGGATAAAGGACAGGGAGTATCCGTGCAACCACAAAAGAAGACCATCCTGCCATCCCCTTGGAAAGAGATGGACGTGCATCCAACAACAGCAGTGGGAAAGAGTATCTGAGGACAGCAGTGGAATTAGGACTAAAGTGAAGTTGACAAACAGTTCTTACATCCTAATTAGGTGCTGAACACCTTGTATGTGCAAGGTTCTGGGAAGTGTGGCAATTAACAGCCCAGATATGGTCACTGGCCTCACAAAGATAGTAATCTAGTGGGGAAGATAGATGTGAAACCAAAAGTCACAGGTGTGATGACTATTTTTGAAAGGTCAAGTGCAGGATCCTGTAGAAATTATGGTAGTAGGAATGCAGGTAGTAGGAACGCAGGTAGTAGGAACGCAGGTAGTAGGAGCACAGGTAGTAGGAATGCAGGTAGTAGGAACACAGGTAGTAGGAATGCAGGTAGTAGGAACGCAGGTAGTAGGAGCACAGGTAGTAGGAATGCAGGTAGTAGGAACACAGGTAGTAGGAATGCAGGTAGTAGGAGCACAGGTAGTAGGAGCACAGGTAGTAGGAACACAGGTAGTAGGAGCACAGGTAGTAGGAGCACAGGTAGTAGGAACGCAGGTAGTAGGAATGCAGGTAGTAGGAGCACAGGTAGTAGGAACGCAGGTAGTAGGAGCACAGGTAGTAGGAATGCAGGTAGTAGGAGCACAGGTAGTAGGAACTCAGGTAGTAGGAGCACAGGTAGTAGGAATGCAGGTAGTAGGAGCACAGGTAGTAGGAACTCAGGTAGTAAGAATGCCGGTAGTAGGAGCACAGGTAGTAGGAATGCAGGTAGTAGGAGCACAGGTAGTAGGAACTCAGGTAGTAGGAGCACAGGTAGTAGGAATGCAGGGAGTAGGAGCACAGGTAGTAGGAACGCAGGTAGTAGGAATGCAGGTAGTAGGAGCACAGGTAGTAGGAATGCAGGTAGTAGGAATGCAGGTAGTAGGAGCACAGGTAGTAGGAATGCAGGTAGTAGGAATGCAGGTAGTAGGAGCACAGGTAGTAGGAATGCAGGTAGTAGGAATGCAGGTAGTAGGAGCACAGGTAGTAGGAACGCAGGTAGTAGGAATGCAGGTAGTAAGAGCACAGGTAGTAGGAGCACAGGTAGTAGGAACGCAGGTAGTAGGAATGCAGGTAGTAAGAGCACAGGTAGTGGGAACACAGGTAGTAGGAACTCAGGTAGTAGGGATTGCTCAGAAGAGGGGAGTTTAAGCTGAGGCTTGAGGAATGAGTAGATTACATTCAGGAAAATGTGGAGGAGAATAGTGGGCCAGGGGAAGGTGAGAGCACGCATAAAGGCCTGGAGATGAAACAAAGTGATGATGGGGAGGGTGTGTGAAAGCCAGGCCCTACAGTTAGAGCACAGAGTTGGGGAGAGGGTAGAACAATTGCCTGGAAAGGCGAGTAGAAGCCAGAGCATGGAGAGCTCCATGAGCTATGTTCATGAACTTGGTCTTTATCCTAAGGATAATACAAACTATTTTAAACAACATTATCTCTACATTTTTAAAAGATCATTCTAACAGCAGCATTGAGAGATTACAAGAGACCAAAGCTGAACATAGTGAAAAACCCTTCAGGAAGCACGTGCACTGGTCCAACCAAACCACAGTGGTGCCTCAGGTGCGCCTGTTGGCAGTGAGGAAGGGAGGAGACTCAAGACTCACTTCCATGTTCCCTGAACAGGCGTAGCAGGAAAAGCAAAATCAAACCGAAAGTCTGTGCATGAGGGGGATCTCTGAGAATTAGAACAGAGAAGAATCCAAATCGCCTCCCGTTTCCTAGGAAAGGATGAGAGAAAGGAGCGCATGAAAGAAAAATAAATTTAGGTGTTGTATTTCTAATTCACAGACAATATTTCCTGGCCAGATGCTGCTGTAGAAATTTCAGAAACACCCACTAAAATCATAAATGAAAATCACATATTCACAACGTTTAATGAGAATACAGGCTGAATTTACAGCCACTGAATGTGCACTATGGATGAAGATGTTGATTTACTCATGGAAGTTGGAAATATATATGATAGAAGAAAACAATACACAGAAATGTGATAAACATTTGCATAAAAATGAGTCACTGGAAAAACTCAAAACTTCCACAATACTTTATGCACCGAATTATCCTCAGAGCAGTCAAAAAGAAATAGTAATAAATAATAATAGTGCATTTTCCTGCCATTAATTTTTTTTCTTTTTACAAAACTTCCGTTGACTTTAGTGGAAGTTCTGCATCTAGAATGTGGCCCAGGAAATTTATAGTCTGTAACTCAGAGACCAAAGACCTTGAACATCAAGAAAATCTTTTACCCTTATTTATATACACTGTTCTTTATCACAAAGGAAGAGCTGGTACCCATCCCAAGTAACCAATCATTATGCAAGGAATATTCTGACTCACCCAGCATCCTTAATCAGTAAATGCTGTGCCAATGGAAAGAGAGTGGGAAGAAGTCAGAGCATCCATTAATAAAAAATGACTGGGGCTTTCTATCAACAGAAGCATCATTAGGAAACGTATGGTCGGAAAATAGTAGGCTGTAGATTTGCGGTGGCAGGGATGGCAATAGAATACTAACATTTATACCCTCTTAACCACTTTGTTTTAAAATGATGCCAGATTTGAGCTAACTACACATATGCTTAATACAGTATTTTCCGTTTTCAATTTCTTGCTAAATTTCTGACTACAGTCTCAAAAGATGAATCTGCCTTACCTGACCCTTTGGCCCTCCCTCCGGCCTCCAAACACAAATGTTTCTCTTTTTTCAGGTTTTATTGAGATAACATTGTATAACTTTAAGGTGTACACCTTAATGATTTTAATATATATACATATATATGTATATCTATACACACATATATATGTATATATATACACACACACACATATATATACATATATTTCAAAATGATTACAACAATAAATTTAGTTTAAAAATACCGAATACTTCATGAATGGGAATGTTACCTTTGCACAGGGGCCATGCTAATATTCTCTTATCATTCCAATTTTTTAGTATAAGTGCTATCAAGATAAGCACCACAGATATTTCTGAAAGACCATTGATTATCATTGTCTGAGCATATCTTCCATAAATGCATTGGTCAATTGTTGGTGAAAGATTAATCATGTTTGAAGGGGTAGGGCCTCGGATTAATCTAATACTTTCTTGAACAGTCTTTTCTCTTTGCTGCCCTTTTACTCCCAATCATAGACCTTGAATAAATACAGACGATATGATTCACACCTCCAATAAACTGTGTAACCTGTATTTCAACTGAGGATGCCTCATGATCACACTGTAGACTTGTAATTCCTAAGTAACTGTGTTGCATTTTGAAAGAAAACAAGCCAGTCGTGTTTCATTAACAGAAAGCCTCCTTTGAGCATGTCTCCTAGTAGGTTCCAGGGATCCAAGTCATTCGCTGAGAGTGAATGGGAGAATCATAAGTTCATCTAAAATACCTACAAATCTTGCCCGGCCAGTGTGACTCAAAGGTTGAGCATCGACCCATGCACCAAAAGGTCGCCAGTTCAATTCCCAGTCAGGGCACATGCCCAGGTTATGAGCTTGATCCCCAGCAGGGGGCATGCAGGAGGCAGCCAATCGATGTTCTCTCTCATCCATGTTTCTATCTCTCAATCCTTCTCCTTTCCTCTCTCTCTAAAAATCAATAAAGAAAAAAAAATTAAATAAATAAATAAAATAAATTACCTACAAATCTTAATAGAGGGATGAGCTAAAACTACAAAAGTCTCCACTACAGTATAACTTTTCAAGTATCACTAATGCACATCACCAGTGGATTAACTAACAGTATTCTGCTTTAATAGCATTTCTGCCCTGTCATTAACCCAGGCATGGTCCATAAAGTTACTCGACTAGCCATAAATAAGCTTACTAAAGTTTATGTGATTTCTAGTTCTATCACCTCAATAAGAAAAACAGCATCAACTTTCTCATCCAGGCTCAATTGTGTGGATCTGAGACTAGGGATGGGATAATAATATCAATGGTTATTCTAAATGAATTCAAATTTCCCCTGCATAATTATTTCATGCCTTGTTTTAAAAAAATTATACTTCTGATCCTAATTCTGCATAGTAAAATGATATTCCTTCTAATGATATTTTGCTATTAATCTATATTCTACCTTCACACAGAACCTGGATAGATGATGTTTTCAAATAATTACCCAGTATTTACTAGAAATTATACTGGTTTTGATAAGTAGTTAGAATATACCACCCACCAAAAAAAAAAAAAAAGATCTATTTAATCCAATCTTCTATTGGAATTCCAGGATTTATGTCACTATTATAGAAAACTCATTTTGGTTATAGCACCAACATGGCCAAATAAATGACTTCAAGATGCTAGAAGAAAGTATTTGGCCAAGATAAATAGGTGTTCAAACAGGCCTCCCCAGCTTGCTCATTTTGCTATATGGAAAATGAACTAACCGAGTTTAATGTACACCAAATGAGATTTGGAAGCATGTTCTAATTCACTTCATTTTGTACCAGGAATGAGTAGTTTTTTATTTCCCTGCTCCCACCTTTAACCCCTACAGTGTATTCTCAACAAAATGGTCAAAGCAATCCTTTTAAAATCTACATCAGATTATGTCATTCCTCTGCTCAAAATCCTCCCATGTCTCCCATGCTGTGAACGGTGCAAGCCAGAGCCCCGGCAATGATCTACAGGCCCTGCACACTCTGGCCTCTCTGATCCCTTTCTTACCCCCTCCTTTGCTCACTTTGCTCCAGTTCCACTGGACACAGTTTCTCAAGCATGCCCAACACATTCACACCTCAGGACCTTTGCACTATTTGTCCCCTCTGATCAAAAGAACACTCTTCTCTCCAATATTCCCATCACTCACTCCCTCACCTCCTTTAAATCAACAGTCACCATCTCAACAGGCCACCCTGTCTAACCTATTTGAAATTACATTTCACCTCCTCTCCCCACACCCCAACCATCTCTTGTGCTGTTCTATTTTTCCTCCATAGCACTCATCACCTTCTAACATCTGCATACTTTTCATATGTATGTCTATTGTCCCTCTTCCTCACTAGAATTTAACTTTCACAAGGACAGAAACTTTAGCCCATTTTGTTCACTACAATATACACAGAACTTGAAATAAGACACAGTACATTGTAGGTGCTTAGTAATATTAGTCAAGTGAAAGAATAAATTCCAAAATTGCTGAATGAGGCACAGATGTAGCACGCTGAAAATTTGCAGATGTTTTACTAAAACCCAAGATTTAAATTCTGTAAGCCTCACTTTTCTCATCTGTAAAATGGGGTAATTATAGTATCTAACACTTAAGGTTGTTGTACACATTAAGGGAAAAATAAATAAAAATCATTTAAGATAATGCCTTGCATATTGGTTAAGTATTTTGATCAGTCCCAAAATAATAAAAGTAAGACCAATAGAGATAATAGCTAAGATCTGCATAGAATTTTACACTTTATGAAGGTTACAATTATTTTCATATCTTCTCAGGATGATCTTAGGTTCATTCCAGGAAAATGTTAATCACCGGATCCTCAGTGTCCGTATGCCTTGATAATGTCAGGCATGTGAAAGACAGAGACAGGATTCAAACTGAAGTCTTCTGAAGTCAAGCCCTGTGCTTTCTCCTTGATATCAGGAAAAGAAAACATCACTTTCAGCTCAAGGCTTTAACAGAATGAAAGGTCTTTGAAGTCATGTTTTGGTTTGGTGCCCATTTACTGAGTCTGGACAACTGCACAAAATGTGGCTTAGATGAGGTGGTAATCATCATCCACTATTGTCTGCAAATTCTAAGTCAAAACTCAACCGCTGGAAGACCTCGTCTCACCAGTGATCATTGAGTCAGTCGCATATGTGCAGTCGGGAATATTTTTATTGTCTGTGTGTGTCCCGACATGCCTACAAACACCTCAAGACAAGGATCAGTTTTTTTAGGGGCGCTCCATAACTCCGCACTCAGTCTTACTTACATGGTAAGTGTGTAGTGAATTTTTTAATGAATAAATAAATGAGTTTTTTCAGATAAGGCACTGCCTACCGTATCTTCCAGCACAAATTGTCCCCCTTCTTTTCTACTAAAGTAATTAGAATACAGGCAGATGTCTACCACTCCCTCCCCTGCCTCTTCCTCCACAACTGTTCGTTGTAAAGCTAGTTCCCCAGAGTGTTGTGCACAAAAGAATCACACCTTTAGAAAATGCTGAGTTAAACAAATTCAAACAGGTGTTTTCACTACAGGACTTCTCAGGGCCTTTACTACACAAATGCACATTCCAAATCATCAAAATTTAGATAGCATTCAGAGCATTTTCCAAATGTATTGGATCATGCATCCCACCAGAATCAAACCTCTTTGCATGGAATTTCCCTAAAGTTTTCCAGAGAACATGCTTTTCTATAACAAACACACTCAGGGTCTTCAAAAGTAAAATCTATTTTAAAAAATTAAAGTGAAACAGCAGGAACACAAAGAAGTCAAGAAGAGTTTATATTTTTGTAAAGCTGGATAACTTACAGGCTAATTTTACTTAGATCTATGATTTATTTTCTATTAAGCCTAATACTGGGTTTGTATAAGCCCACAGCTACTGAAAAAGCATTATTTTGAAAGATGCTTTAAAAGACTAATTTTTCTTTTAATAAGGCACTGGTGTGGGGCCTCCCACAATTTTGTGGCCTTTAAGTAGAACGCCAGGACACCTCATAGTTAAATTGGTGATGGCGAGGGAAACTGGTCTTATCACAGGGTCTCTGGGCCAGTGTAATAACAAGTTCTTTAAAGAGGCAAATTTATTCACAGACCTGTATCAGTTAATTGCATATTTCTTAATTTTATTAATCAGATAAGATTAAATAAACCTCACAAGATACTGAGGGCAGATAGACCACAGAACGTACTCATTTAGACGAGGCCAAGAGGGGATGGTGGAGGGGTGAGGCCCGTCAGATGAGGAGAGCTGGAACGGGGCTCCCTGGAGAAGGTGAGAGGAACAGATGATCAGGAAGAAAAATCCAGAAAAATGGGTTTGAAAGAACTTAGAATTCCATCTTGTCCACCCCATACTTTCACCTCATGGTGGCTTTGATGACAGACCTTGCATACGGAATTTTCATAGGAAACAGGAAGCAGAAAGCCAGGAGACCTAACCTGGCTGTAGAGATGTCACTGACTAAAGATACATGGGGAAGGAAGTAGCAAATACAAGATGTTACTGATAGTATGAGGTCCCCAGAGCCTGTGACAGACATTCAAAGTCAAAACAGAACAAAACAACCTTTTATTGGGTGCATCCAGAAGTATCCCATTTCCCCCTTTCTGTCCACTCCACCTCATGCCTCCATCCTTAGCCTGAGCCCCTGAATAGAGAAGGGATAGAAACGAGCCTGCTTGTCTCTGCCGCGTGGCAGATTTCCATGTGCATATTAATCAACACATACCCTCTTCATCACTACTGCACTGGATCCTATGTTTTATTTTTTTCAAACCTTAGAAATATATGGACTTGGGAAAGTATACAAATCTCCACTTCTCCTTTTGCAGGTAGACAGTTTGTGGATTTTTAATGAGGTCACTTGCCTCTGAGACGTAGTCTCCTTATGGAGACTCTTCCTGGACTTGACATCTGTAGTTGCACTCCTGAGTCCGTCCGTTCTGTTCTCATTTTCTCCGGGCTCTTCTCCCCAGGCCCTTGTGAAGCCCTGCGGTGGCCATCTCTCCAGGCAATCCCCTTTAAGCACAGCTATCTGAGGCAGAGACACTCTCTTAGAGCACCTCATTTTGGAAGATTTTTAATAGGAATGTTTTAAATGTGTCCATCGTGAACCCTGAATGAGTCACCATGCGGCTGAGGGAGGGCACACTGTCCCCCAGTGAGCGGAGCTCACCACTGACCATCAGGGCGAGTCCTCACTCCAGGTTCACCCACAGCTCCCTCCTCAGAACTGCTGAAATCTGCTCTCCCTTTATCTTCTTAAGAAGATCTAATTTCCCTTGGATCCTGTCCAGG